TGATTCTATGATTCTAAATAGTCATTGATTTGCATCCGCCTTAGTAGGCAGCTTGAGAAATGTCCTCATTTCTACATCTGTCTACTTATGTATTCATATATAAACTATGTTGATGCTGAAAGGGAGAACACCATCTTGCCTGAGACCCTGGGGGGACAGTCAGGGTGAACAGCCTGTACACATCATGGAAGAGCTTAATTGATCTGCCCTGCGTCCTGCTCTGCACCCCTTCCCTCCTGCAAGCTACTCCTCGATACTCAGCTTGTGAGCTGCTGAAACAAATACACAAAGGAGTTGTTTCAGCTGAGACTTACATCTGTCAAGCAAGGCTGTTCTTTCCCAAGTTCAGATCTTGAAATCTGGATTTGAATATGCAGAGATGAAACCTGTACATTTCAGCTTCAGCTCTCTTTGTGCTCCATGACCTTCTGTCACCATGATACCGCAATCACATGCATTCACCCTATACATCTGTATCATTTTAGTTTACATATAGAATCATAGAATCATTTAGGTTGGAAAAGACCTTTAAGATCATTGAGTCCAGCTGTCAACCTAATGCTGCCAAGTCCCTAAGCACCACATCTACATGTCTTTTAAATACAGCCAGGGATGGGGACTCAACCACGTCTTTGGGCAGCCTGTTCCAATGCTTGACAACCCTTTCAGTGAAAAAAAATTTCCTAATCCAATCTATTTTTCCTAATACCCAATCTAAATTTCCCCTGGCACAACTTGAGGCCATTTCCTCTTGTCCTATCACTTGTTACTTGGGAGAAGAGAACAACACTCACCTCGCTGCAACCTCCTTTCAGGTAGTTATAGAGAGCAATAACATCTCCCCTGACTCTCCTTTTCCCTCTAAACTTCCCCTGGCACAACTTGAGGCCATATAACTCTTTTCAGGTAGTTATAGAGCACAATAACATCTCCCCTGACATAACCTCCTTTCAGGTAGCTGTAGAGAGCGAGAAGGTCTCCCCTCAACCTCCTCTTCTCCAGTCTAAACAATCCCAGTTCCCTCAGCCAGTCCTCATAAGACTTGTTCTCCAAGCTCTTCACCAGCTTTGTTGCCCTTCTTTGCACACACTCCAGCAACTCAATGTCCTTCTTGTAGTAAGGGGCCCAAAACTGAACACAGTACTCAAGATGCAGCCTCACCAGTGCTGAGTACAGGGGGACAATTGCTGCGTATAAATGATGGAAAGTGGTTTCCCCCAGCTCCCTCAGTACCCTTGGGTGGGTCCCATCCAGCCCCAGAGACCTGAATGTCTCCAAGTGGTGTAGCAGGTCACTAACCATTTCCCCTTGGATTATGGGGACTTAATTCTGCTCCCCTTCCCTGTCTCATACCCAGCTCAGGGGGCTGGGTATCCTGAGAACAATGGTCTTACTATTAAAGACTGAGGCAAAGGAGGCATTAAGTACCTCAGCCTTTTCTTCAGCCTTTGTCACTATGTTTCCCCTGCATCCAATAAAGGATGGAGATTCTCCTCAGCCCTCCTTTGGTTGCTAATGTGTTTATGGAAACATTTTTTATTTTCTTTTACGGCAGTAGCCAGATTAACTTCTAGTTGGGTTTTGGCCCTTCTCATTTTCTCCTGCATAACCTTATTACATCCTTGTAGTCCTCCTGAGTTGCCTGTCCCTTCTTCCAAAGGTTGTAAACTCTCCTTTTTTTTTTTTCCTTGAGTT